TGGTTCATGTACAAAAGCATAAATGGTTAGCCCCAAAAAGGGAGTAAAAACGTCACCCTCCTCCTCTGGAAACTTCTGTGCAGGCTGAGACCAGCCAGCGAGAAAACGGTCAAATCAGAAAACGGTTTCGGACAAAAGGAAAACATCGGGCGCTGTAAAAATCGTGTTTGTTTTTTTTTAAAAGATCACCCTGGAGGGGTGGGGTGTCTAAAAAAAAAAAGGAAAAAAAAGTGCAAGCGGACCTTTTCTCTCTGGTTTATTGTGACCTGACCACTCAATACTGTCACGGAAGGGCGGGGGCACCGCTGGGCTGCGGGGTCTCGGTCTCCACGCCTGGGACGGTAGTTAAAGCTCATCTGCGAACACGGCCCCCCCCGCCCGGCCCGCCCCTCTCCCACCCGGCCCCGCCCCACCGTCCCCGCAGGTGGCCGCGTGCAGGTGCGCGCTCTAGGAAAAGATATGAATGGCCTGCGTGGCCGGCGTGCGGCAGGCGGGACACTCGGGCTCGCTCTTGCCGCAGATGCGGACGGCGCAGTCCATGCAGAAGAGATTGTGGCCGCAGGGCACCAGCGCGGCCATCACCTCACCCTCCGCGCACACCACGCACTCCCGTGCCAGGGCCGGAGCCGGCGCGGAGGACGCCGACGGGGGCTTGCGGCTGTTCTCGGAGGTGGCACCGGAGTCCAGCGGGGCGCAGGAGGTGGCTGCGGGGCTGCCGGGCAGCGAGGTGGCTGTGGAGAAGGCGGCGCCGCCAGGGAAGGACAGGGGCCCCTGCGGGGGCCGCCAGGACAGCGCGCCCACCGGGTCCGGGGCACCGCGGCGGGACAGCGGGAGCTCCAGGCGGAGGCCGCCGGGCTCAGGCAGCGTGGGCGAGTGGCGGGGGGGTCCCCGTCCCACTGCTGCGCCGGGCGCTGGCAGCGGGAGGTCCCGGGGCCCCGTTGACGGTGGAACAGCCGCTGAAGGCGGGCAGGGGGGCCGCGCGCTCGAAGGGCGCCCAGATGGTGGCCGCGGCGGGCACGGTCAGGTCCAGCGCCAGGAAGTCGAAGCCAAAGTCGCAGTCCTCGGGGGCGGCGGTCCCCACCGCGGCGCCCGCATCCTCTGCACCGAAGGCGAAGCCTGGGTTGCCGGAGCCGCCGTAGGGGCTGGTGGGGCCCGGGTCCGGGACAGGGGGACCCCCGCGGCTGCCCGCGTAGAAGGCCTCGGGGGCGCTGGGGGCGCCCAGGGCTGTGTCCCCACGGAGGCCGGCCGTGGCCGTGGGGGGCCGTCGTCCCGGGTTGGGGGTCTTGGCCCAGAGGCTGGCGGCCGCCCCGAGCAGGTCCAGGCAGACATCGGTGCCGTTGGCGTGGAAGTCGCTGTCGGGGCCCGCGTCGGTGAAGGCGCCAGTGCGCAGCGTGATGTGAGCCTCGATCTCCTCGCGCGCGCGGTCCACGTTCTCGGGCATCCCGGTGACCGCGAACACCGGCTCCTTGTCGCGGCCGGGCGTCACGATGTAGGTGTGCGTCCGCTGCTGGATGCGCTTGATGGTGGCGCCCTTGGGCCCCACCACCAGCCCCACCACACGGTACGGCACGCGCACCTGGATGGTGGTCTGTCCCGGGAGGTTGGGCGGGCCCTGGGCAGTGCCGGGCAGACCCCCGGCCTTGCTGCGCGTGGCGCGGATGATGGAGAAGTGCTCCGCCGCCGACAGGATCTCACGCTTGGCCATCTCCACGTCCTCCTTTCGGCCTGTCACGATGAAGACCGGCTCCTCGCCCCGCACCGGGGTCTTGATGTAGGTGTTTGTCTTGGCCCGCAGGGCCTTGATCTTGCAACCTGTGGGGGAGGGGAGAAAGAGACAGGGTGACCCCAGCCCCCTGCACAGCTCAGCCCCTCTGGGGATGCGGGGCCAGTGAGGGAGCCCCTACCTCCCAGCCTGTGCCCAACACCACCTCATCTTCAGACACGTCACGTCCCTTCTTCCCTGAGCCTCAGTTTCCCCTCTGGGCTCTGGGGTTTGGCATAAAAGCAGGCGGCAAAGGGACGGTTGTAGGCTGAAAGGTGTGCCCCTGGAACCGCAGGGTGTCACAGATGGGGTGTGAATGTTTCCAAGTTCATAAGCTGGACCCTAATACCCAGTGCTGATAGTATTAATAGGTAGCTCAGCTGGGCGCGGTGCCTGACCCGGCATCCCAGCACCTTGAGAGGAGCAGACAGACCACTTGAGGTCAAAAGTTTGAGACAAGGCTGGGAAACCCCATCTCTACTAAAAATATCAACAATTAGCCGGGCATGGGTAATCAGCGGGCACCAGCAGTCCCAGGTACTTGGGAGGCTGAGACAGGAGAATCTCTTGAACCCAGGAGACGAAAGTTGCAGTGAGCGGAGATCGCACCGCTGCACTCCAGCCTGAATGACAAAGCAAGATTCCATCTCAAAAAA